AGAATGAAGAGATTTCTCAAAATCAAGTACCGAATAAGCCAGAGTTTAAAAACAAAAACTTTAAAAAAAAAAGTACCTGATAAATACAAATACTGGGCATCTCGAGGACTGAACAGTACAACACGCTTTTTTCCTTTCACTTGTATTAAGAAGTTATCCATTACCTAAAGACCAAAAAGAACATAAGAATGAACAGTACCTAAAATTTACATAAACAGAACCAATGGTACTCCAAACAGTTAACTATAAATCCTATCCTTTAAAAAGACTTGACTCAGACTACCTAAATCTCTTATAGTAATGAAAACATTTGTATTCCAAACACAAATGTTCCTTTATTAAACATATTTCTGTAGCACTGCCTTAAAATGCAAAGGGTTGGCAGGCCGTCAGGAAACGTGAAGTCCCAACTGTTTGCCTTGCCCCACCATTATGACAGGAGGGGTGTTACACCTATTTGAGGCTCCCCTTGCTAGTGTACTTGTGTGTTACTTACCTGTCAAAGAGTGCTACAGGGCCAACATTCAACAAGAGGTTAAAAGCACTTAGACAATTAGGTGTTGGGAAAATACAATGCAGTGTGGCAACCACTGCTCTTTTCACAAGTTCTGATACATGGCCAACATAATTTGATTACAGGCATCTTGATTTCTAAATTATTTCCTATAGGACTGTAGGACTGTAGCCTTGCACATTTCCTTGGCACAGTTACTGACGGAGCAATCTTGACTCTTCCTGTGCATGCACGGGTGCACTTCATGGGTGGAGAATGTGTAAAATGTTGGAAGGCAGAGCTACATTAATTCTCAACTAAGGAATTAAAATAAATGCTAAAGAAAATATATTCGTGATTATTTACATATCACCTCTACCTAAAGATTTCTCATTTTACCAATAACCCTTTCCTTACATAAACCTTAACCATATTACTAGCATTCCTTTGACTTATTTTTAATTTAAGAAAAGCTTTATAATATCCCGTTGTAAGTCAATATAACAGACATACTACTTAAAACTATAGTCATAGAATTCAGTTAAAAATGTATTCAAGTTATCACATTTTCTCACCATACATATCATTTATGTAAAACTTTTAAAAACCAATAAGCTATGATTTTATGTATATTTCAGTTAATTATAGAGTTGCTATGTTAAAATCTGCGCAAGTGGTCCTCAGCTGGAATTAAAAACACTCATAAAAATATAGCTGGATTTAGAACTTTTTAAAAAATACCTTTATAAACCCATTAGGTATTGCTTTAACTTCTTAAATTTCTCTACCCAACCCCAAACCATACACAATGCTAGCTTTTTCTAAGTTTTTAAAATATATGCATATATTTAAGCAAATAAAATTATTAACACCATAGAATAAATAATCAAGATGAGTAATCTACACATCTTGCTAGTCAACAAATACAGTAGACAATTGACATCCTAAGACCTTCAGATTCCCAAATTCTTATAATTTGAAACGGCTCTCCACAAGCTCCTGCTGCCCTTCTCCTGAATTACAGTTCCCTTTAGTCGTGTGTGTCATTTTTAACACCTTCAAAGCACAGCCTTATCACCTCTTGCACTTTCACCAGTTGGCCCCTCATCTGGTGACCACTTCACATGTACAAAAAAAAAAACACTTCATAAAACTATATGTGTGTGTAGTGATGAATCAAGGACAAAACCACAGAGAAATGCAAATGTGATCAACTAGGCTCTAGTATTAGCTAGTAATTCACTCCCACATCACTACCTTGCAGTGCACCTGTTTTCAAATGTCCTGTTTCAACAAATTACATGTTAAAGATCTTCAGGGCACCCTATAGAGAGCTGAAACAGTGGCTGTTAACTCTATTAACACTAAGATCTACAGCAGCTTTAGATTTCTCATTTATATAGCTTACGTCATAGTGGGTCCAAAGTTGTAATCCTGGGGAGCTAATTCGAAAAACACTGGAAAAGAACTGTTCCTCTTTGAAGAATTTTGGAAACTTAATATCTCCTTCCAATAAAGGAAACTGCTTTCTGATATCTGCAACATCCTGCATTGAGAGAAACAGTAAGCATTTTAATAAACACAACACTGGTGTAATGCTCATTTTATCTAAGGCTGCCATCAGAGCCTATGACATAAAGGAGGATTGGAATAAAATTCTGTTCACCACTTTAAAATACTAGGATATGACCAGAGCCAACGAGTGAAGGAATACACACTGTGTTACAAGAATGCAGATTCAACATCACTACTGTTAAGCTGAATGTGCTGCATTTGTAGTTCTTCCTACTTTAAGCAAGATTCAGACAGTTGTTAATCTAATATTCAGTATTTTAAGTTTAGGAGTCCACAACTTGAATGTTACCAGCTATGTAAATCCTGTGGTTCTATTGGGAGAGGAGAATTAAAAAAGGTAAACAAACTAAACGGTGACATAAATGGGAAAAATATTATCTTAATCATTTAGGGAATACTCATTAACATTGTAGCCTTATTAATTAGATTCCAAATGCATATCAAAGCTTATATAATGAATTATTTAGAATTTTAAAAATTATTTAAGATTCTATTAGCAAAATTGCAATCCATAAAATATACAGTAGAAAGAATTTAATTGTGTAGAGAGATTACAGTAGATGACTTTAAACACTAAGATTCTATGGTCCTACTTAAAAACTAAGGTATCAACTTTTAATAATCGTACTTATTCAAGGACATGAATCACTGAGAAAAGAATGAACAAAGATAAAACAGGTTGTATGTCAGACAGTAGGTACAAAAATTGTAGTGCCAGTTAAAGTGTATACTTCCATTTAGGCTTATGTTTTCACATTCAGAATTCTTACCTTTCTGGGGTCTTCCCCAAGTGACCGTAAGTAGTACTTCTCATCCTTAAACATCCCAAAGAAAAAATGACATCAATATTCACTTAAAAATATTAGAAAGTAAAAATGAAAGGAAATGAGTTTTAAAACCTAACTCAGTTGTTTTTGAAAAAGTTGTTTTCTTACTCTTTCTAGTAATGCTCTCTGGTGGCCGTATGAAGAAATGTCTTTATATACTGTGTGAAATAATGACTGGATCCACAAAATATAAGTAAAATAAATTCTAAAAGCAATATACACATACCACATCTGAAACCACAGTGCTCAATTTAGACTTTATACTTCAAATTATTTAGACTCGTAAAAGAACCCCCATGTGTATAATACACATGATCTCAAGGTATCATTGAGTGCCAACAACAAACTTCTGTATATAATACAAATGTACAATAGGGGATAAATAAAATATACTTTAATGATTTTTTAAAATCTAGAACACTGTATTTTATCAAGCTATGGCTATTTCTGATTATATAAATTCTTAAGCCAAATCCTCCAGTGTAAGTTCCTGTAATGAATAAGAAATGTCATTTTATAGTAATAAATTTGATATTTCAAAAAATTATCAATTATACTGTACCAAGTAGCTATAATAGGGGACTGTCTGAACTGTAAAACATTACTGCTGCTGGCCTCTCCCGTGAGAAGAGAACTGAGAGATACTGGGTCCAGCACAGGTTAAGCCAACGCAGGGGTTCTGCCGCTTGGACACCCACACTGGCCTCTACAGCATGAACTTCAGAATACATCTCACTTCCCTGAACAGCATGTCCTAAATCTATGATTATGAATATGCCATATCAGGTAAATTCTATACATTTACTGCTCGCTAAAAAGGTTTCAAAATATGTTCTTCAAATTTCTAAGAGTCTTCTACCAGGATTTAATAATATTTCAGGATTTAAGAATTAAGTTCATGTGGCAGATACAGAGATGCACTTCTCAGACCCCTCTTTAAGAAAGAACCCACTGCTAAGCCCAAAGGAGTGTGGTTAACATAGCTGCCACCTGTTTACTCCTTCAAGGCCACCCTAGCCTTTGAACCAAGGTCATGACCTTCTTGGGGCAGCCCCAACTAATGACTCAAAAAAAGGCCTACTTGCTACGGAACACACGACTCCTTTAACAGTCAGTCTTTGCTTAGGAGTTCCATGATACTTAAGTTGAATTATTTAAAGGAGGATTATAATATAAATAAGTAAACATTTTTGAATAAATGCTATAGCAAAAACAAAAAATCACATTAATAGTAACTAACAATAGTAAAACATAGTAGTAGTTCTCCATTAGCATTTGAACTTGGTATATCAAACCAAAGCATTGTGTTTCATAAACACAAAGTAATAAACACAAACTTTCAAAGGAAGTAATACTAACAGCTAACATTTAGTGAGTAGTTTCTAGTCAGACACTGTGCTAATAATTTCTCTATAGATTTTATTTAGTTAATTGTCAAAAGACTCTATAAAATGGGTACTGTTACTCATATTTTATAGGTGAGTATAGCGGCACAGAAAAATAATTTGGTCAAGGTTTGAGATCTAATAAACAGCAGAACTAATATCTATAGCATACACAGCCAAACCCTAAGAGTGGCTTTCAGAGAAGGACACAGGTCTTGTATATACAATATTCTCTTATAAGAAAGTAATGCTTTCTAAAAAACATGTTAAAACCAATTACCTCAGAAATAAAGAATTCTTTATGCTTTTCTTCAGCTGCCCTTTGAACCAACTTGTCAAAAGGTAAAGTTCTGAAATAAACACAAAAGAATCCTTGGACTTAATAATAATAAACCAATTCATACTCTAATCATTATATATTAATATACAGGAGTTTGGAAGTTAGATATGGCCTTCTGTTTTACCATATCCATCAATTTTTATTATAACCTGTTATGTGGAACTCTAAATTTTCAAAATTCATTTAACAGTGTGCCTATTTGACAGAGATTGTCTGAAATTTCACTTTAAAAAATTAAAGCTCTTTAAATCTATATTCAGATGAATCCTTCTTGTATGTCGATATCCCCCTATTCCAAGTTATTGTTAGAAAAGTGTTTCTGTGGTGTCTGGTTGCCTCTGGAAATACACACTTTCAACCTCTTGCTGCTCTCTTTTCAGGTGTCCTGGCAAAACCTGTCCTGTGATGAGGGGCAAGTGCCAGTGCCCCTCTGGAAGAGACGGGAGGCACAGGGTGGACGGACACCCAGGCCCCCCCACCCACTGATCCTCCTGCCTTTCGGCATCACCACAGCACAGAGGCCGGTGCCACTGCTCTCAGCGGCCAGCACCGGTCGTGATAAGCCTCCTGAGGAATATCTCAAGGTGAATTTCAAGTGCAGTGACACAGAGTCATCTTCTTCTTCAATATTTTTGTCCACATGCCTGGCTCCTTCCACCCAGGTGAACAGGGCTGAACATTGTAGAAGCAAAGTTTGTTTCCTTTACCTCACATTCTTGAGCCTCGAGGGTTACTTTCTCCCCAGGTCCCATCCTATCCCTTCAGTCTTCTTGAATCAAAAGCACTGTCCCCTACATAAAAATGATCCCTTATTGGTTACATCAAAACAATAAAGTCCTCAAAAGCACAGGGTCAAAAGTCTCTCCCTTCCTCCAGCACTGCACCCCAGCCTCCAAACCTGATAAAAAGTTAGAATTTTTTTACTCTTATTTTCCACTTGAAATCTGTACTGGGGCGAAACCTGTTCTCCTCTGTACGACCTTAGGCTTACTTTCTCCTAGCCACATTTTCCTAGAAACATATTGGGTTAAGATAAATGTGGAATGTCAACTGTGATATCACATAATATTATTTATTGTAAAAATGGTCCTTGACTGGTGAACTACGTCTGACTAGAAAGCTGGTGGTAGAATATAAATACTTGTTAGGAAACAGGGGATTTGGCCTCCCTGTGTGCAGTGTAAGTCTTGCGACTGAGTATACCCCTTGGAGGAACCTAGAAAATAAATTCATGGGTTATTGTGTGCTACTGGTATCTAAGTTAGAGTGTTTTTGCACTTACCTCTACAGTCATGTTCCCTGACAACTAAGCTGTTATGGTTGGAAGGCAAAAAATGGCTCCTGGACTGGTATGAGGGCTCCTACTGACACTATCCACTAGAATGCTATTTTCTGCAAAGCCAAGTACAGCTGATGCCAGAGTATGGACTAGTGGGTCCTGTGTGCAAGACTGTCAATCTGAACTCAAGGACACTGCTAGTAATGTTGAGTGAGCACTGCAACAGAGACGAAAGGAGTCTGCCACCTATTCAGACCAATCTCCTACTATAGTTTCTGGCTAACTATATCAACAAACTTACTTGGCATCCTCCAATTCAATGTTTCCATCTCCGACTCCACCATATACCCTCATTCCCACCAAAGCCTCTTTGAAGAGTTGGGGAATAACATGGAATCCTACCTCTGAAATTGGTGTAGTTGCCTGGGCTTAACTTTTTTACTAAGGAGAACCTGGCAGTGTTTCAAGACCTTTGTAAGAACAGGACAGACAGAGGGGTCAGTCCATAAAAGAAAAGCGGGGGTGCCCCACCACCTTTCTCCCTTAGGTAGTGGTGCCTGTCAGAGATTCTGCAGAAGCAAAGCTGAGAGAGGGGAAGCTGAAGTATATGCACTGGAAGTTCCTTGGCTTTGAGATCTTATCTACCCTATGCATGTTTCAAAAAAGGGCACCTGCTACTGACGTTCCACTTACCTGGACTGGCACATGGTCTGGGACGGGAGGTAGTATGAAAGAGGGGTTAGGATCATGGGCTTTCTGTGGAGTCAGCAAATCTGGGGATAAGTCCTGGTCCCATCATTTTGAGCTATATGAACTTAGATAAGTTACTCAATGTTTTTAAGCCTCCGTTTGCTCATCTGTATAATTAGTATTAAACTGAAGTGGTAATACTGATAAATGTGTGTAGGATTTCCTACTTTCTAGTCTATGGCCTAGATGCCTCCCTTCTTTCCTACTCCCCATTAACTGCCAAAAATAACTAAATCTATTTTTTTCTTGCACTAAATAATCTTGCAGCTCTTTAGTAGCTCTAGTGAAAGGTTTGGAGGAACCTAGCATAAGAACTATTACATAATATATGTGCCTCAAAAACAAGTTTTATAAAGTTTATAGCACATGACAACACATCAAGACAATTCAAGAGGAAGTTTCAATAACCACTTGCTATGGCACTGGACTCTGTGGAAAATAAACATCATTAACTGCAGGCCAAAAAATGCTGATCATTCCAGCACTTTCTTCCACTTTATTTAATGAAAAGCGAAAACTTCTTACAACTGGAAAATTTTATGGCAATTAAATTCAATTCACTGGCCTATTAAAAACCAAAACTATAATGATGAATATTCAAAGGATCAAAAACTGAGAAATGCTTTGGCAAGCTGCTTTATGAGCTTGGAAAACTAATGAGAAAGGAATGGCCCTGGACATTAGAAGCTCTGTTTAACTCATCTCTAAACTCTGGAAGTAACAGTGAGAGCTAACTCCCTTTAAACATTAGGCTATTGTGAACTACACAGTTTTTAGTAGATTGAATTTGCTGGGAACAACACATGCTCAGAATAAGAAAGATGTTTGTTTTTTTATTTAATATTTTTAATGAAAACTCATGGGAATAAATATATTAAAACTGTAAGATTACAGCATTTCAAATTTAAACATCCAGCAGCTTTTAACTACATCTCATTTACTTTTAAGAGATCCCAAAACAAACAAACAAAAAAAATGACAACCATGAGGAAAATTAAAAGTATTTAAGGTTATTTTGTCAAAAGACAAAATTAAGTATGATCTCTTTAAAGTTATCTGAATTGATAAAAGATTATACCAAATAAAGCAACTACTTGCCCTACATTTCTGGAGAAGACAGAAGAAGAAAACACAGGCTTATACTTATCTAAAAACAATCTGGATTTGGAAAAAATAGGTTGTGAAGGAAAGCTTTAGAATTTATTACTCTAGGTAATTTTTAATATGGTAGGATCAATTAATGAAGCATTAAATGAATACAGCACAGCCAACTTCAGATGTAATCTAACTCTAGTTACCACAAATCTGTTTCTTCAATGGTTCCAGGAGGTATCAGGTATACACCCTATGTAAAAAATGGTGTTTGGAAATGTCTTTGTATAATTATGTAAACTCAAAATTCTTGTCTTTTAAAAGTCATTCTTCAAAAATCAGTAAGCTATTCCATGATTATATCAAACTAGCCAAAAGATGATATGGCTTTTGTATAATAATGCAAACATACTTTAAAGGTTTAAAACAAGTTACATGTATCCCCAAAGTAAACCTCAGAAGAAAGTACCTATACACAAAGTTCTTACTAATGAAGTCCATCTGGGCAACGGCAGCAACGTGAATCTTCACTTCTCTCCCCGCTCCGACCTGAGTCAGGTAATCCACTGTCCATTTGCTTGTGCATGTCCCCAAATCCATTCCTTCCAATACCAGAGGTTTTCTCTGTACATGGGGGGAAAGTACGAAAAAATTTAGGGAAAATCAACAATATTTCATGAGCTGTATCTGGCAATAGAGGGACAAAAATAAAAAGAAATGATTCTTGATTCCAAGATACTCAAACCTAGTCACGCTGTAACTAAAATAGGAAGAGGACGCATGCAAAATGCTTAGAATAAAACGCTGACACCATCAACAGCTAAGAGATAAGAAAAGATGAATATTATTTAAAGCATTCTCATGCGTGTTACTTATGACTAAATGGTTGAAATTTGTACTTCATAGTCAAATATTGTTTCTAGCTTTCTATTTTGATACCATTTCAAACTTACAGAAAAGCTGCAAGAGAATTACAAAGAACTCCCATTACCCTCTGCTCTTATTCACTATTTACCTAACATTCTGCCCCATTTCCTTTGCCATTCATTGGCTCTTATTCTCACTACGTGTATATAGAAAACATATTATTAAAAATAATTTATTTTTTTCTGAACTATTTCAGGGTAAATTGCTGATACCATACTCCTTTATCTCTAAAAACTTGAGTATATTTTCTGTGAACAAAAACATTATCTTATATATATCAAAATTATAGTTAACACTATATACTAGGATTATCTAATCCACAGTCTATATATTTTGCTAACTGTCCTAATAATACCCTTGTAGTTTTTTTCCCATTTCTGAGACACCACATTGCATTTAGTTGCCAAGTCTCTTTTAAAGTGGAACAGTTCCTCAGCCTTTTTGTCCATGACCTTGACATTTTTGAAGAGTACAGATCAGTAATTTTGTAGAAGGCCCTTCAGTTTGGGCTCATCTGATTTTTTTTTTTAAGATTTTATTTATTTATTTTTAGAGAGAGAAGGGAGGGAGAAAGAGAGAGAGAAACATCCATGTGCAGTTGCTGTGGGCCATGGCCTGCAACCCAGGCATGTGCCCTGACTGGGAATCGAACCTGTGATACTTTGGTTCGCAGCCCATGCTCAATCCACTGAGCTATGCCAGCCAGGTGATGTTTCTTCATAATCAGATCCAGGTTATGCATTTCTGTAAGGAATGTACCACAGAAGCAATGTTGTGTCCTTCTCAGTGCAACACACCAGATCACACATGATATTCTGACCTATTATTTGTTATGAAAACCTATTATTTTCATCAACTGGTTCTTCCTGCATGAGTCAAGTACTTCTAGGGATAAAGCTGTGATGTTTAAATATTCCATCATCATCTAAATGTATTAGGTGGCAGTGTAATATCAAAATGACCTCTAACTTCTCCATTTATTTTATTCAGTGGGTTATAAGCTACTGATGTAATTTTGATGCTGAAACTATCCCAGATTTGGCCAGTAGGGGCCCCTTCAAGCTAGCTCTTGTGACTTTTTCTCGGAGCACTTCTTTATTTTAAGGCAAAATAGCGCAATCCAGCACCCTTTTATACCTTCTCTGTCTCAGCCCTACAGTCATTTCTTCAAGCTGTTTTTTCTTTTAGTGGAGAATGTTATTTAGAAACCATAATGCAGGTGCTGGGTGTGTTCACTGCTATTGGGGTGACACTACTTCTCAGTGGGTAGAGCTAGGAAATATATATACATATACACACACAACATAAATGATATACCTGTATCTATCTCTCTCCACATATACTACACAAACACACACACTTAATGGATGTGTATGTATGAACCATGATAATTCAAATACTATCTTATATCACAAGATTCATTCTAATATTTGTTTATATATTTGTAACTCCCTTCTAATAGTGGGAAACCAGGTTCCTATGATACTCAATGTTTAATCAACTGCACAATCCCAGAATTTGCAATAAGTACTTTCACAGTTGCTGTCATACCACTATAAAAAATAAGGCTAACTACTATTTGTTTATAGTTCTTTTGTCTTTAAACTGAGAACACATAATCAAAGTATTATATTTAAAACTGAATTGGGTTACTTCTCATCCTCCCTATTACTCAGATTCACTTGTTATTTTTTAATGTTCCACATTAGAGTTTTGTCTTTTAAAGATTTTGTTTAATTATTTTTAGGGATAGGGGAAAGGAAGGAGAAAGAAAGGGAGAGAAATATCAGTGTGTAGTTGCTTCTCGTATACCCCCTACTGGGGACCTGGCCCACAACATAGGCACGTGCCCTGACTAGGAATCGAACCAGTGACCTCTTGGTTCACAGGCCAGCACTCAATCCACTGAGCCACACCAGCCAGGGCTAGAGTTTTGTCTTTTAAACATTCCTCACTCTTGTTAATATTATTATTATTTTAGAATGTAAAACATTAATGTGATCCCCAAAGTCAAAACTATACAAAAAGATCACCCCATCCAAATTCTTTCACCTTGTACTCGCTCATCCCCTATAACCAGTCTCATTAATTTCTTGCTTATGGTTCGTGTATTTCATTTCAGCAAAGTAATCAAAAACATATATATTTCCTCATTTCCCCTCCATTTTTTACACAAAAAGTGTCATATCGTGTATTTTCTTTTGTAGCCTGTGCTTTTTTTTTAAATTTAAAACTGTATCATGGAAATCATTGCTTAGTTCAGATTATCTCCCTCATTCTTTTTTACACTTTAGTACACTGTAGTATAAATGCACAGTGTAATCAATCACTCTCCTATGCATAGGTTTTTAGGTAATTTGCAATAATTTCCAAGTATAATTTACAAATTAACACTATTTAGATATTTTCATGTTGTAGAAGATGTATATCCAGAGTAAATTTCTGAGTTAACTGCAGATTGGAAAGTAAACACTCACAGTTTGTTAGATATGTCAAATTCCTCTCCAAAGGGTTGTACCACTTCACACAGTGTGACAGTTTTTTTAGAGCCTCGCCAAGAATACACTATTAAAGCCTTTTAATTTTTGCCAATATGATAGGTAGGAAATGGTATCATAGTATAGCTTTCATTTCTCTTAAGAGGCAGAGATGAACATCTTTTCACATGTTTAGATGACATTTTTAGCTTTTTAATTTTTGTTAACTGCTCACTTGTAGTCAGATTTTGGGCTTTCTCCACTTAATTTTTGAAAGTTTTTAACACACATGGGCTTTCACTGCCCTTTTATAAAATACATGCTGTGAATCCCCCCATTTGTATTTTATGTACTTAAATTTTAATCTTTTCTATTATTACACCCAAATTCTGACTGATAGTTAGAAAGCCCTTCTACAGACCTATATTATAGTGTTACAGAGGAATTTACCCATGTTTCCTTCCAGTACTTGTTTAGTTTTATTTGTTTGTTTTTTCTTTTTTTAGAGTTCTGATCCATTTGGAGACTAGTCTTGTATACAATGTCAAGTATAAATCTAATTTTAGCATTTTTCTAAATGACTATCCAGCTATCCCAGCACCATTGATTTAAAAGTGCATCTTTAACATGGTGGCATAGGTAAACACAGCTTGCCTCCTCTCACAACCACATCAAAATTACAACTAAAATAGAGAACGACCATCACTCAGAACCATCAGAAACCAGGCTGAATGGAAGTCTGACCACTAGGGAATTAAAGAAACCACATCCATCCAGACTTGTAGGAGGGGCAGAGATGCAGAATGGGCTGGTCGCACATCTGTATGTGGTGGGTAAAAATTCGGTAGCTATACCTTGGGAGCAAAGAGTCTCAGCCTCACACCAGGCCACCGAGCCCTGGGTTCCAGTGCCAGGAAGACAAGTCCCCCAAAATTCTGGCTGAAAAAACCAGCAGGGATTGAGTCAGTGCAAAAAACTTCTAGAGTTCCAAGCAGTTCCCCTTAAAGGACCTATACACAGACTTACTGACTCACTCCCTCTGAGCTCCAGCACCAAGGTAGCAGCTTGAAAGGCACCAGTGGCATAAATGGAGGAACTGAATCATGTGGCATCAAGGCAGAAGCTGGGAGTCAGCTTTCTCCCAGACAGAAAGGCAGTCAGAGACCATCCTCCCTTTTCTGAGCCCTCCCCCCAAAAGAGCCACAGACCCGGCAGGCAGGTGCCATATCTGGGTCTCCATCAACCTGGCAAACACTGCTCTACTGTTTGAAGATACCCTGAGACTTCATCCCACCCAACTTATAAGCCCACCCAAAAGTAACTGTTAACACTTACTTTTTCATATGAATGGCTGGTCTTGGCTCATGCTTCATAATATCCTAAATCCTCTCAAACAAGCAACAGCAGGCCTCTCCTAGCTGCTAGCTCCCATACCTCTAGCTAAGTGGCCCAAGTCCAGTACTAGCAGCAACCAGCCTAGATTCACAGCTTCGCTTCTCCTGGAAATCTCTAGCACAAGCAGCAGCCATCTCAGATTGCTTTATAGCTCAGGCAGGGTGGCCCTGGGCAGAACACAGGTTGGAGATGACCTTGGCCTGCACCACCCAGGAAACCCCAGAGCCTGTGCACCCAGTAGACAGCTGCAGACCTCGTTGGAGCACCAATACCCTGCCCCTGCACAGGTGATTCTCCACAGATGGCGGAAGTTGGTGGTTAAGTGGTCATAGCCAGTTCTTGCAATTAACTGGCCTAGGTAAATCCCTCCCATTGACCTGCCAACAGCCATCAAGACTCAACTACAAGAGAAGAGTGTACTGAGCCCACACGAAGGGCAAACATTGAATACCCAGCTGTGTACCTAGGCTGTGCCACTGGATCCTACAGGACACCTACTACATTAGGCCACACTACTGAGACACAGAGTCAAAGCAGCAGCTCTACCTAATACATAGAAACAAACACAGGGAGGCTGCCAAAACAAAGAGACAAAGAAACATGACCCAAATGAAAGAGCAAATCAAAAGTCAAAAAAAAGAGCTAAACAAAACGGAGATAAGCAATCTATCAAATGCAGAGTTCAAAACACTGGTTATAAGGATGCTCAAGGAACTTAGTGAGGACCTCAGCAGCTTAAAAAAGATCCATTCAGAAATGAAGGATACACTAATTAATATAAAGAACAACTTACAGGGAAACAACACTAGAGTGGATGAAGCCAAGAATCAAATCAATGATTTGGAACCTAAGGAAGCAAAAAACAACCAATCAGAACAAGAAGAAGAAAAAGAATCCAAAAAACATAGATAGTGTAAGCAGCCTCTGGGACAACTTGAAGTGTTCCAACCTTTGCATCATAGGGATGCCAAAAGGAGAAAAGCAAAGACCAAGAAATTGGAAATCTATTTGAAAAAATAATGAAAGAAAACTTCCCTATTTTGGCAAAAGATATGCAAGTCCAGGAAGCACAGACAATCCCAAACAAGATGGATGCAAAGAGGCCCACTCCAACCAAGACACATCATAATTAAAGTGCTAAAGCTGAAAGATAATCTTAAAAACTGCAAGAGAAAAGCAGTTAGTTACCTATAAGGGAGTTCCCTTAAGACTGTCAGCTGGTTTCTCAAAAGAAGCTTTGCAGACTAGACAGGATTCTTAAGAAATATTCAATGTCATGAAAAGCAGGGACCTATAGCCAAGATTGCTCTACCCAGCAAAGCTATCGTTCAGAACTGAAGGGCAGATAAATAGCTTCCCAGGCAAGAAATAACTAAAGGAGCTATTACATAAAATGTTACAGGGATTTATTTAAGAAAAAGATTAAAATTATGAACAATAAAATGGCAATAAATACATATCTATCAACAATTGAATCTCAAAAACAAACTAAGCAAACACGAACAGAGACAGAATCATGGATACAGACCATGTTTTTTGATGGTTGATTGATGAGGTGGGGTATGGGAGAATGGGTGAAGAGGTAATGGGTGAAAAAGTACAAATGGGTAGTTACAGAACAGCCAGGGGAATGTAAAGTACAGTATAGGAAATGGAGTACCCAAAGAATTTATACACAGGACCATGGACATGAACAATGTTGGTGGGATTGCCTGAGGGAGTGGGGGGTGCCAGATAGAGGGGGGAAAGGGAGAAAAATTGGGTCAACTGTAATAGCATATTCAATAAAATATAATTTTAAAAAATGTTCACCTTTGCCCCAGCAATTTTTAAAGTGTCCAGTTCATCACATACTAAATTTCCATATAAATGAAAATTTATTTCTGTATATTTGTGTTTATATATCCAGAAAAAAACATATATATCACCAGACTTTCTATTCTATTCCTCTGGTCTGTGTATTCATGCATCTGCACCACACTCTTATTAAAAATGTTTAGAAATTGGGTAAGACTATGCCCCCGTCACAGCTTTAGTGTTTCCAAGTAGAAAGGTCTTGCTTTGCAATTTTGTTAACTTCAGTGTTATCGCATTGTGACCGGAGTGTTATTAGTAATTTCTCACTTTATGGAACTTAGTGGTGCTTTCTTCGTGACATTATGTCTTGTCTGGGAAGATTAAATTAAAAAATACCCTTTGCTATGTATCTTACATAGCACTTCCACATATACTTGACCTTCATATTACTGCACTGAAAGCATCTTACACTAACACACCTTGAGGTGGGGGTGGGGTGGACAACAGCCCATCCAGCACCAGTCCCCCAAATAAATGAGGGTTTGAATCCTCTGTGGGATTCAACTAAAAGAAAACTCCTAAAAGAAAAACTTTATCCTGACTTTTATATTACTCAGAACTGTATCTCTATGATACCCTCATAGAGGTAAATATCAAGTAAAACTACTGGGTGTATTTTCTACCATAAGCACAGTAAATACAACTTCAGGGATTTCTTTTCTTTAAATATCTGCTAGACTCTTTACTCTCGGTTTTTCAGAAGCTTGGACTCCCTCACAAAGCACTGCAAATAAAAATACATTTTGCCCTTAATATGTTTTATGAGGTTCGAATTACACATATAAGAGGCGCCAACGTTTGAACTAAAACCTAGATTAGTTCGAATCTGAGCCCAAGACTAGTGCTGGTTTCCCCGGGGTGATTACAGCTTCCCTTTGGCTCAGTTCAGTGAAAGATTACTCCTTTAAATCCAGTAACTCGAGTGGAACGACAGGTGCTATTCGCTTCAACAAGGGAGCCTCAAAATGCAACAGGAAGGCGGGAGCGGGTGATGGAAGTAAACTCCCTTCATCGCCAAGGTAACACAGAAGGCTTCGTAATAAAACTCCTGCAAGGCTACTCTGCAGTGAGCAGTGCTTATTAGGCAAAACGTTTCTCGCACTCAGCTCTTCGCGGTCATCCGTCTCCCCAGAAACGTGGAGCTCTTCTCTCCGGAAAATTTAATGGATGAGCCCATTGACATCCCCACGCACCCTCTCCCTTGGCCGCAGAGCTAACCAGCCATCTTCAGCTGCCTTCTCTCCACTCTGGGTGGCAAGAAACAAGTTCGGAGCTACCCGAGGAGTACAGCCTGGTATCCCCTGGCTTCCCGCTGTTCGGTGCAGCGCCAGTGCCTCACCTGAGGGTAGAGGTGCTGCATGAAGTGCTCCTCCGAAACACCCTCGAGCCGGGGTACCTGGAGGTGCCGCCCAGCCATGGTGGCTCACGCTCGCCCTCTCCCAAGTCTCGGAACCCTAAACTCTCTAACAGGTTCTCCTATATCCGATCCGCCCGGAAACACGGCTTGGAGAGAAAAGGGCCGGGAGGCCGCTGAACTCGCGAGAGCGGAGGGTTTCGAGCGCCGGGCTCAGGGTCTCCGTGCATTGGGTCGCTGGAAAGCGGTGATGGAGCGGACTCACCAGAGGTGGCAGCAATAGGCCAGCTGTACTCTTCAGCCTCTTTCTCGGAACCCAGCGTAGGTGGCGGTTTCCCACCGACTTTCTTTCGATTGTGCACATGCAAGCACAGGGGTGAAAGGTCACAAAAATGGCGCTGGCCGTTCGTCTATTACCTCGCTTGCTTTTTTGTGGGTCTCTGCCCGGCGGAGCCGCCAGACCCTGTACCTCCGGAGCAGCCGAAGTGAGGGCGCCGTTGGCTGGACTCTGCTGCTTTTGCCGCCGCCACCACCTCGGCTCGAGAACGGCCCCTTTCCTTTCAGTCACTTGGGTCTCTGCGGCCTCTCCACTGCCTGCTCTGGGACCCCAGCGTCCCTTGCTAAGCCCTCCTGGACTGGCTGCAGCCCTCCCCGTTTTCCCAGTCGGCGCTCGGCGCAGCTACAGCACTGAGGAGCAGCCCCAGCAACGCCAGAAAACGAAGATGTTCATTCTGGGCTTCTCCAACCCCATCAACTGGATTCGGACTCGAATTTACGCCTTCCTTATCTGGGCCTATTTCGACAAAGAGTTCAACATCACAGAATTCTCAGAGGGAGCGAAGCAGGTTTGTATTTCCCTGGAGTTGACCTGTACGCCTCCTGCATTCAAATTTACACGCAAAAAATGTTTAGCGGTGAGGTGTCCTCACTGGCTCCCACATTATCAAACCTTAGTAGTGACCCTTCGGCCACTTCTTGACTTTAAATTTAGTGTCTGCTTCTTTTTCCATGTCGCCGAGGCCCTCCTTGTTGATGGAGACACCAGGGTGAAGTCCTCCAATTACCTTTTTCACTCTCTACAGGTTTTGAATCAGGTAGAAATGGATTCAAAGCCCGTTTCTAACACTTAAAAGTAACGTGGCTTTGTCTTTTCTGAATGTGACTTTCTGTAAAATGAAAAAGACAATGTCTGGCACATTATAGGTACTCCATAAATGTGTGCTGAATAAATGAATGAGTAGTTAAGACTGTTTTGAAGAGTAGATGAGATAACATTTCTAAAGTGTATAATGTTATTTTGGGTAGAACATCAAAACTTCCTGCCAGCTACTGTCAGAGCTCCTCTGCCCTTTACTCCTCTTGCCCTCATTCCCACCTCTCCCCATCCTCCTAAAGAATAACCTAGGGATGAGCAGTTTCCCCTTTCGAGGATTCGCTGAGACAGTCTGGTCACTGATAAGTGCACAGCATCCTGAACACTGAGAAAGGGCTTTGGGTGAGTCATTGCCCTGACCGTGACAGTTCTGTCCCTCTTTCTTAGTGGCTGGTAATATTCCACCTTACTCTTGCCACATGTAGGTCACTTTGGTTCCTGAGATTTGCAGATTTTGTGTATACATGCATTTTTCTAGGATGAAAGTCCATCTATAACTTTCTTTTGAACCTTTTAGAGAGTTTGTCATCCCCAAACATTTTTGAACTATTGATAGACAAAAACGCAGTCAGTTTATTTTGCCATTCATACCTCCATGTACCTTAAAATTATGTCATCAATGTAATCATTTTACAGTTGATGGTATACTGGTATTGATATATTTACTCCTAATTTATTTCCAATTCTATAAACACATCTATTTATATTACATGACCTGTCAGTTATAAATTAAATGTTATTATCAGTGTCAATATAAATTCCTTTCCTGATTCAACAACTCTTGACTGATTTATGTCTTGATTTAAAAGTTAAAAAGCAAAGAGAACTCGATTAATAGCATCATAAGGGGTAACCCTCTGCTCAAGTCAGTCTCCAGACCTCTTGTCCATTCGGAGGTAAATCTGCATGATGCTGCTGTTCTCCACAATGCCCGCCAGTGACATGGGAACTTGTCTACCTCATGACATGCACATGGCTGAGCTTATTTGTGTGTCAATAAGGAATGAAAATCATCTCCCTACCATAGGCAGGGGTCAGGTTTCCTTTGAATGCAGAAGCATGGGATACTCGTTAGTCACTGTGATCTTAGAAGTCCTCCAGCTCTCAGCTGTTTTAGCTTCCCCCACTTTGCTATTAAGTAGCATCCCCACCCCATCATCAGCCAGTCTGTGTGTAGTTTTGTCTCTTCTAAGTCAATTTTTGTATATTTAGCTATTCTGATACCCAAAAAGGACATCCATGGCATATGTTTGGCAGTTTCCTTAAATTACTGGTTACTTAACATATCTTTCAGATCAAACAGATTAGTTCTTCAACACTTAAGATTTAAAAAGACAGGGCTAAAAAACCTCCTCCCTACTAGATGTCATAATGCGACTATACCTTCCTTTGCAGGAGTGTGATTCAAGGGCTCGGGAATAATCCAGTCTGGTGCAGAAACACTAGTGTATTTGCTCTCAAGGGCCCCACTTGCCCTTTCTCCTTAGGCTGACCTCCCAGCAATAAGGTGTTATCTTGGATTGTGACTATCAAGTTATCAATTAAATCAAGTTTTTACAATTTTTCCTTTTTTAATTATAGGACATAAAAATGAAAAGGCACCTTAGGGCTTATCATTCTAGCCTAATCCTCTTTCACAGATGAGAAATCAAGTTCTAGAAAAGTGAAATGATCAGCCCAAGGATGCATAGCTAGTGACTGCTGAGGTGCACTGTGCTGTGACCACTCCACAAACAGTCTTGGATACCCAGAGTCACTAAAGTTGAAATGGCTGAGTACAGTCTGGGCAAGCATTTTATTTATCACCTGAGCCAGGAGAATAGGTGACCCAGTGCTGTAAATGGCTTTATTAGCTCCACAGACCATGCTTTCCATTAATATGTGTATATGACATGCTGTCTTCCCTATTACTGCCATCAAACCACATTCATCACATTTTAGCTTTTTCTGTGAAAAAGAGGGCTATTTCCTGGAAGCCTGTAGGTTAGATACTCCGTATCAGTCCAGCTTACAACAGTTCCATCACTGACTCCCCAGATTTAATGCAGACACCAACCCAAGTCCCAGCCTCCCATACTTTTGATCAACTGGCTATACATTGGGGGTCCTCACATCCCCCAATAGTTTGCTAGAATGGCTCACAGAACTCAGGAAAGCACTTTTACTTGCTATTTCCAGTTCATTTTAAAGGAACCGCCTAATGGAAGAGATGCACATGGCAAGGTGTGTGGGAAGGGGTGTGGGGTCTCCTTGCCCTCTCCAGGTATGCCAGTCTTCCTGCATCAACGAGGGTCACCAACCTGGAACCTCTCCTAATCTTTTCCTTCAGGGATTTTATAGAGGTTCTGTTATGTAGGCATGATTAATTAAATCATTGGTAATTAACTCAACCCCAATACCATATTCTCCCTGAAAGTCTGGAGGTGGGGCTGAAAATTCCAGACCTCTAACCACAGCCAGCCCCCATCTTCTAAGAGTCACCTCATTAGCCTGAACTCAGGAATAGTTGAACAGGTTAGGACCTCTGAACCAGGAACCAGAGTGAAGACCCAGTATATGTTACTTATATCACAGTATCACACCATGGATCTGTGCATACTGACAAATCTCCCCTCTTATGGCCCTCTAACCACATTAATCACTTACTCTTTGTTTTCCTGTATTTTGCTTGCACATTTTAGCTTGGCTATGCAAAGGGAGGCTATTTCCTAGAAGCCTCTTTAGGTTGGACACTCCTATATCATCAGAACCTCCCTTTATCAGAGCAGCCTCCAAGTGGTTCATTATTATGTAAGATAATTTGCTCAGGTGTAATCTTTCTTGAGCACACAAACTGGAGTCTCACAGTTGGGCTTCAATATGATGGTTATGGTCTTTGGTTCTTTTTACCAAAACACTACCCATCTTCCACACATGAAGGCTTACTAAAATGTGTAAGGGTCTCTGAACCCTGAGCACCCCTGAGGTGCTTGCAAGGGGTCCTTGAATCCATTTGGACTTGTGTGCATTTTCCCAAAATTCAGCTTCATTGTACTAGTTTGTTATGATGCCATAACAAAATACCACAGTCTGTGTTGCTCAAACCAGAGAAGTTTATTTTCTCAGTTCTGGAGGCTCGAAGTCCAAGATCAAGGGGTTGGTAGGCTTGGTTTCTTCTGAGGCCTCTTTCCATTGCTTACAGATAGCTGCCTGCTTCATGTGTCCTCGTGTAGTTTTTTCCCTCTGGGCACATGTGCTCCCTGGTGTATCCTTGAGTGTCCAGATTCCCCCTTACAAGAACACTGGTTAGGTTCGAGTAGGGCTCACCCACATTTACTTAGTCATCCCTTTAAAGGCCCTATCTCCAGATATGATCACCTTCTGAAGTACTGGTACTTCAACATATCAATCTGGGGAAAACACAATTCAGCCCATAACAATTACGTAATGTCTCTCTGACATGCCTGTGCGTCCTTTCTCCTGCCAGTTCTTCAGGTTTCACCTCAGATGTTACTTCCTTCAGGAAGTCTTCTCTGGTTCTCCCAGATTGGCTTACATACAGAGCTCTTCCGCATGCTCCCACATCATCTTGTTCTCACCCCGTCTTTGTTCTTGAACTTGTCTGTTTACTTGCCTTCTCCTCCTTACTTGAAGACAGGTCAGGTCCCGTGCACAGTTTCGTTTCTCGCTGCTAGGGATGTGGAGCATTGCAGGGGGTTCCTTGGCTTCAAGGTGGCACCTCATACATCAGTCAGAACCACTGCAGTAGGCTGTAGAAACTCGTGATCTTTTCTGCCACTTTCCCAAACCTGCCTCTAGCTTATCTAGCTTAATGGTTCACGCTACATTATTTTGAAAGGAAATACATAGGAGGATTTTTATGCAGGGCCTACTGTGTACACCCTGCCTTATCTTTTCCAGGTCCTGAGAGTGGACACGTAGTTAGCAGTCTGCCCACTCACTGCTGTGTATGTGGGGAAACCACAGGAGAAAAGGAAAGCCAGCCGACCAGGAGTCGTGCCTGACAGTGATGTCTTAGTGCTTGACACTGTTTATCACCTTTATCTTAAAATAGTCTTTGTTACACTTAGCTATTTAAATTTGAGAATTGTACATTGTATGGTATTCTGCCTGGCGTTTTGAAATAATAATCACCACCCTCCCTCCACTAATTTTTTTTAAGGCTTTTGCGCATGTGTCCAAGTTGCTGTCAGAATGTAAATTTGATTTGTTGGAAGAACTTGTGGCCAAAGAGGTAAAATATGCTTTTAATTTTCCTTTGAAAATGAATGTATTATTGCCTTGCAATCAAATGATATACAATACATTGTCCTTACATATGCTTAAAAATACTGTGTGTGCCATCAGCGAGAGTCGAGTCCCCGTGTCATTCCTTCTGGGTACTTTGGGTTATATAAAAGCATAGAATGACATGCTACTAAGGCATAAGTAAGTAAATGTGATGTCTCTCAGTTGTTCTTATGTTAGACTGTTCTGTTAGAAATACCTCATTTAATAACTAGATGGTTTTCAGCCTTGCTGTTGAAGCTGAGTAAATATGGTAGTAAATTTAAAAATAGGATTAAAAAAATACATTCCATGAACAATTTATTGAGCTTCTTGAAAAGCTTTCAAAAACTCAAGAGGTGAATTACAGTTTGCTTTTTCCAAACTTAGGTGCTACAAGTATTGAAAGAAAAGGTTACTTCACTGCCTGACAACCACAAAAATGCCCTTGCCGCTGACATAGATGAAATTGTGTACACGTCCACAGGAGACATCTCCATTTACTACGATGAGAAAGGTAATGCCGGGGCACAGGCCGCTTTAAATGATTCACAGTTGTCCAGATAAGCTGAACTACTGGGAAATCACAAAATAGTGGGAGTTTGTTGGTGTAAGTGGATATTTATAGGACTTCAGGGAAAATAATACATTGTTTGAAGACCTAGCCCTGGAAGAGTTCAGATACAGTAGAGTTTCGTATGCCCTTCCATCTGGAACTTTTCTGTACTGCTCTTTAATTCACAGGAGAGAGCATGGTCACTGAAGTTGCTGAAAAGAGTCTGTCCAGGACAGGCTGCTCCCATGTCTCAAACTAAGAATATTTGTGTTTCAGATTTCCTAACTTGAAGGAAACAAACCAGCATTTTAAATGTCCAGCCATATGTTAAATAGAAGGAATAAAGGAAAAAGTAGATAGTATCAGCTAAAGACTGTTTGAGAGTGATACTAACTGCAGAACTCCCAAACTGGATTTACCTGGAGACAGTGAGAAAAGTTGAAAGGAACTGCAGTGCTGATTCGGTTCGTCTTCTTGTCCAGTGCACACGTTTTCCCTGCAGCATGCCTGAAAACGTGCTGATGGACTTATTCCTGCTGCAGATGTTTGCGTGTGTTCTACGTGCCAGGCACACAGGAAATTAGCTTTTGCTTACACAGGGAATTCTGATTTGAAACATTTGTAAAAGTACTTGTACATATTTTTCATAAATGTTTTTTCTCCCCTAATATTTTAAATTACACGTCTTATGTAAAAATCAGGCCTAGTCACTGCCTGATTTTTACATAAGACGTGTAATCGCTAGGCATGGTAAAGTGAATTAGGTAGAACAGAAGTCTTTCTTCTTTCCGGCAGTTGGTATTAATTAGCTAGCAGCAAGAAATGTTTTTCCCCCTCATTTTTGGTTTGACAGCAAGTATCTGTTATAATTTCAGAAAATGCCACAAATGTGTATAGTACACTTAGTAAATAGTATGTACTCACTAAATAGTAGCTATTATTATTGCGATTCAGAAAAGAGAGCAAATATATGTCATTTGCTCTAAGAGAATTTTCTGAAAATAAAAAGGTAGCAATATAGGTATCTTAAGTTAGCCTGGAATAAGCAAAAAATTTGATCTGTAACAACTGTGTAACTACTACCAATTTCTGTTTCATTTTGGATGCATGGGTGATAGATGATTGTGATTTGTATCTGTGTGTATTTGTGTGTTTTTTCTCTAAGGCAGGAAGTTTGTGAGCATCCTGATGTGCTTTTGGTATCTAACCAGTGCCAACATCCCCAGTGAAACGCTGAGCGGAGCCAGCGTGTTCCAGGTTAAGCTGGGGGATCAGAACGTGGAAACCAAACAGCTTCTTAGTGCAAGCTATGAGTAAGTCTAATCCCATTTCATTGTTTCCTTTCTCCAGAAAATGGAAGGTAGCATGACAGTATGGAAACGAAAGGGAGCTTTAGGAAGAAAGCACTGAAATTTGACAAGTTATTTATGAAGAGAAAAAGTCATAATGACTTACTGGCCATGAAGCAGGCGTGTTCAGAACTTAGAAGGAGGTAATATTTCTGAATGTAATTAAACAGTGTGTCAGCTGTCTGCTGGTGCATTACCAACCACTCCAAAGCTCAGTAGCTGTAAACAGCCCATTTATTTTGCCTGCTATTTTCCTGCTCGGGAATTTTGGGAAGGCTCAGGTCTGGGGTTTTCTCTGCTTCACCTGGCATGAACCCGGGTGACGAGCTGGAGGATCCATTTCCGCAATGGCTTCTTCGCGTGTGGTGCTCCTTGGCTTCTCCACATAATGTCTCATTCTACAAGGCCTTTCTTCGTGGCGAGGGCTTGTGTCAGTCTCAGGCTAGTCACATGTTTTATGGTGGTTGGCTTTCAAGAGGCAGAAGACAGAAGATGCTAGACCACTGAAGGGCTATGCCCGGGGTTGGGACACCATCACTTCTGCTGTAGTTCATTTGTCAAAGCAGTCACAGGACTTGCACATGTAAAAGGGCCTGAAAGACTCCACCTCTTTACGGGACAACAGCAAGGGCACATTGCAGACCAGCTCTGTGGATGGGAGATATGTTTATGGCCCTTGTTGGAAAATGAGAGCTGCCATAATTGGCACATGCGTGGACTGTCCACTCACTAGACATTTATTGACCATCTTCTGTTTACCAGGTACCCTAGAAGGGGTTCAAATACAAAATTAATGGGTTCCTGCCCTTAAGGAGTACTATTTAGTAGGAGGTTAGCAAATTATTTAAAAGTGACACTAGTTTGAGATAACATTTATAGTTAAAGAACACTGTAATCAGTACTGACTTTTAGTTCCTCTGATATTCCCTGCCAAGACCATGGGCAGCTCATAAGCTCTGTTACTTTCAAGATTGATCCAATGTATATAAACCAGATCACACTAAAATGCTGTTTTCATCGCCATATCCAATATATTTCTCCTCATATTAGGCATATGTTATAGCTAGTATTTAATGACAGACTAATACCCCAGCTTCTCACAGGATTAGCAGGTGTGGGAGATCAGCCCATTAAAAATACTCATTTTAGTTGAGAATGTATAATTAATACTTTTGAGTTTGTGGGGGTATTTTTTGGTAAAACTTCTTTTTATTTTGATTTTTACTTTCCATTGACCATTAGCTTATTGCCAACAGCTGCCTCTGATAGACACTTGCACATTAGTTATCTAAAGAGTGTTTGGACTGATGTCGGATTCACATTATTTGACATTTTTTCCCCTAGATTTCACAGGGAGTTTACACAAGGAGTAAAGCCTGACTGGACTATTTCACGGATTGATCACTCCAAGTTATTGGAATAATCTTTTTTTGGAAAAATCAGCTTATTGGACTTCTAGCAATTGCTGTGAAAAACTAAGGGAGAAAAATTTTGGATCAGTTGATCTTCACTTAGCCAAGTTTGTGGATTACTTCTGTATCACTATACTCCTTATAGTATACTGGCATGATACAGTAAAGCGTTCTCATGGATTGTTGTCGCCTTCTGTGAGAGAGGTCAAAATAAACTGCAGCCCCCCATTGCTTGTGTCATGGTCACTGTTGTTGTGTGTATGTGTATATATACACAAACTAATTTTATAGGTAATAAAGGAGGTATTGAAAAACTACACACTTCTAAATTAATAGTCCTTAAATATTTTATTTGCAGTTAATACATTTAAACCAATAATTCAAATATGAATAAGGTTTTTATTATTTTTTAAATTTTATTTATTGATTTTTAGAGAGAGAGAAAGGGAGGGAGAGGGAGGGGCCTCAACTTGTTTCCATTTAATGATGCATTCATTGGTTGCTTCTTGTATGTGCCCGGACTAGAGATAGAACCACCACAACCGTGGTGTATGGGATGGTGCTCTAACCAACTGAGCTGCCCAGCCAGGGAAGGTTATTTTTAAGTATCAGTGCTGCCCTGGCTGGGTTGCTCAGTTGGTGGGAGTGTCATCCTGTACACCAAAAGGTTACAGGTTCAATTCCCCATCAGGGCAAATACCTGGGTTGCAGGTTCCATCCCCGGTTGGGGCACATGCTGGAGGCAACCAATGTTTCTCTCCCTCTCTCTCCCCTTCCCTCCTCTCTCTCTAAAAACAATGAAAACATCAGGTCAGGATTAAAAAAAAAATCAGTGTTGCTATTCAGTTACCTCTGGTCACTAGCTAGATGAGAAAGAGGAATGGATAGAATTGTAGCAGATTGGTCACTGCACAGTGAATGTGAAACTTTCTAAAGTACAAAGGGAAAAATAAATAAAACAGCCCATTAGCCACTTGTTAGATAATATCCATCTTACAGCATACTTGAATTTGGAGTCCTAGAAGTTGGGGTGGGGGGAGAAAAACAACATAAGAAATGTCATACTTTTAAAAATTAATTAAAACTATAAACTCACATATCCAAGAAATTCAACAAGCACATTAACACAAAGAAAACCTCACAGAGTACATCATAAAGCATTGAAAACCAGAGAAAATTGTAAAAGCAGCCAGAGAAGCAAAAAAACACTCTATACAAAGAATGACTGCATTTTTATTTTTGAACTGCAAGTCAGAAACCTTGGCGTGATGCCTTTAAAATGCTCAAGAAAATAACCTATTGAACAACAATTCTATATTCAGCAAAATTATCCTTCAGAAAAGGTGAGAAAAGACCTTTTCACAGACAGTATGAATTTGTCAGCAGGCCTGTTTTATAACAACTGTTAAGGACCAATGGGACAGAATACATTCAGAAGTGGACCCATACACGTTAGACAATTGATTACTTAGAAATTGCTCACAAGATTGTGGAGGCTGGGATGTCCAAAATCTGCAGAATAGGCCAGCCAGCTAGAGACCCAGGGAGGAGATGCAGGTCAAGCTGAAGCGAGTCTGGCAGTACTCCTGGGGGCATCAGTCTTTTTCCATTAAGACCTTCAACTGGCTCAAAAAATTCCCAACAAAGAAGTCCTGGACTGGATGGCTTCACAGGTGAATTTTACCAAACATTCCAAGAAGAACTAACACCCCTCCTCAAACTATTTCATAAAATTCAAGAGGGGGAATGGCTCCTAAACCCATTTTACAAGGCCAGCATCATCCTAATTGCAAAACCAGATAAAGACACTACAAAGAAAGGAAATTATAGGTCAATATCCCCAATGAACATAAATGCTAAAATCCTCAACAAAATATTGGCAAACTGAGTACAGCGATGCATCAAAAAGATCATACACCATGATCAAGTGGGATTTATTCTAGGGATACAAGGTTGGTATAATGTTCACAAATCAATAAATGTGATTCACTACATACACAAAATAAAAGGTAAAAACCACATGGTCATATCCATAGATGCAGAAAAAGCTTTTGGTAAAATTCAGCACCGTGTATGATAAAAACCATCAGCAAGGGAGAATAGAGGAAATGTACTAAAACATAATAAAGGTCATGTATTACAAACTCACTGCCACCATTATACTCAACAGGCAAAACCACAAGTATTCCCCTTAAGATCAGGAACAAGACAGGGATGTCCACTTTCACCTCTCTTATCCAACACAGTACTGGAAGTCCTAGACACAGCAATCAGACAAGAAATAAAAGGCATCCAAATTGGAAAGGAAGAAGTAAAACTGTCTTTATTTGCAGATGACATTATACTGTATATAGAGAACCCCAAAGCTTCCACCAAGAAACTACTAGAACTGATAAATGAATTCAGCAAAGTAACAGGATACAAAATTAATATCCAGAAATTAGTTGCATTTTTGTATGCCAATAACAAACTAACATAAAGGGAAATTAAGAAACAATCGCATTCATGATTGCTTCAGAAAGAATAAAATACCTACGAATAAACCTAACCAAGAATGTAATAGACCTGTACTTGGAAAATTATGACATTGAAGAAGGAAACTGAAGAAGATACAAGTAATTGGAAGCACATACCATGTTCATGGACAGGAAAAATTAACATTAAAATGAGCATACTACCCAAAACAATCTATAGATTCAAGGTCATCCCTATCAAGATTCCAATGGCATATTTCACAGAACTAAAACAAATATTTAAAAAATGTATATGGAACCACAAAAGGCCCTGCATAGCAACAGCCATCCTGAGAAAGAAGAACAAAGTTGGAGGAATCATGCTACCTAATATCAGACGATACTATGAGGCCATAGCATTCAAGACAGCATGGTACTGGCATAAAAACAGACACATAAATTAATGGAACAGAATACAGGGCCAAGAAATAAACTCACACCTTTACAGTCAATTAATACTCAACAGAGGAAGCCAGCACATACAATGGGCTAAAGATAGCTTATTCAATAAATGGTGCTGGGGAAATTGGATAGGTAAGTGCAGAAAAATGAAGCTAGACTGCTTTCTTACACTATACACAAGAATAAATTCAAAATGGTTTAAAGACTTAAATCTTCAACCTAAAATCATAAAAATCTTAGAAGAAAATATAGGCAGCAAAATTGTGGACATTGTTCACAGCATATTTTATTGGCTATTATCTCCCCAGGCAAGGAAAACAAAAGAAAAAAACACATGGGACTATACCAAACTAAAAAGGTTTTGCACAGCAAAGGAGACCATCAACAAAATAAAAAGACAACCCACAGAATGGGAGAATATATTTGTCAATACATCTGATAAGGGGTTAATATCCAAAATTTATAAAGAATTTCAAAACTCAACACCAAAAAAAAACAACCTAATTTAAAAGTGGGCAAAGGACCTGAATAGACACTTCTCCAAGGAGAACATACACATGGCCAACAGACACATGAAAAGATGCTCACTGTCACTAATCATCAGAGAAATGCAAATTAAAACCACAATGACATATCTCACACCTGTCAGAATGGTTATCACCAATAAATCAGCAAGAGTTGGTGAGGATGTGGAGAAAGCAGAAAACCCTTTTGCACTGCTGGTGGGAATGCAGACTGGTGCAGCCACTGTGGAAAGCAGTATGGAGATACATCAAAAAATTAAAAATGGATCCACCTTTTGACTCAGCTATCCAACTTCTGGGAATATATCCGAAGGAAGCCAAAACACTAATTCGAAAGAACATAAGCACGTCTATGTTCATTGCAGCATTATTTATAATCGCCAAGATATGGAAGTAGCCCATAGTGTTCATTAGTAGAGGAGTGGATAAAACAACCCTGGGACATTTACACGATGGAATACTACTCAGCTGTAAAAAAGAAGAAAATTTTACCCTTTGCAACAGCATGGATGGACCTGGAGAACATTATGCTAAGTGAAATTAGCCAGTCAGAGAAAGACAAACACCATATGATTTCACTTATATGTGGTATCTAATGAACAAACTGAACTAACAGGAAAATGGGTATAGACTCATAGATGGAGAGCAGGATGATAGCTTCATGGTGGGATGTTAAGGGGGGTAGAGATTGAGCAAGAAGAGAAAAGGGCTCATGGACAACAGTGTGGTGATTGCAGGGGGGAGGAGGGTATAAGGGGACTAAATGGTAATGGAAAAAAACAGTAAAGATTAAATTTTAGCCCTGACTGATGTGGCTCAGTGCATGGAGTACTGCGAGCCAAGGGGTTGCTGGTTCAATTCCCAGTCAGGGTATGTGCCTGGGTTGTGGGCCAGGTCCCCTGTGCGGGGTGCATGAGAGGCAAACACATATTGATGTTTCTCTCCCTATCCTTCTCCCTCCCTCTTTCACTAAAAATACAATAAAAATCTTTTTTAAAAAGATTAAATTTAAAAAAAGAAAAGTCCTTCAACTGATTGAATAAGGACCACTCATATGATGGTGGGTCTCAAAATCTGCTGACCCAAAGGTTAATCTCACTTAAACAGTATCTTCAGAGAAACATTTAAAATAATGTTTGACCAAATACCTGAGTACCATGACCTAGTCAAGTCGAGAAATAAAATTAACTACCATAAGTATGATACACAACTACACACACACACACACACACACACACACACACATGCAGATTAATCCGGTACTAGATTCTAGCCTGTGTGTTGGGGAGGGGTTCCCCCATAATGTCAAACATTTCTGGGACACCATCTGGGTATCCTACAATTCAACTCAATTCTAACACTATCGGGAGACAGCAGCAGATTCACTGGTTAAAGGTTCAGTCCTACAAGGTTCCCCTCTCCCTTCAGTCGCCAACCACAAGTCCAGGCCATCGCCTGGGCTTCTAACAACTGGTTCTAGATTGGAGGTTGCAATGACCTCCCTCCTTTGGTTCCATGAATTTGCTACAGCAGCTCATAGAACTCAGAGAAACATTCTCATTACAGATTATTCATTTACGTAAAAGGATATAACTCAGGAACAGCCAGAAGGAATGGATGCACAGGGCAAAGTATGTGGCGAGGCGTGTCACACCCCACAGCGGCAAGTACACGCCAACCTGGGAGCTCTCTGAACCCCGCCCTTTTGGGTTTTATGGAGGAGTCATTACCCGGGTGGCTGATTTCACTATTGGCTGTTGGCTGTTGATTTAACCATCAGCCCACACTT